CATTAGATATTAAATGTAATACACTATGCCAAGTCCTGCATTTCTTGTACCAATAAAACTTTGCTTGCCCTAGTTGACATTAGTAGCAGCTTTGGACACAAAAGAAACACATGATCAGGTGCCTAATCTTAAAGAGACAATCAACTTAAAATCTAGTAATTAAAAACAATAGTTGAAAAACAGATTCTATTTGGGGTATTATATCTGCCCCTAAATTCCCCAATCAATATTTTTGTTTCTTTTGTTTTACAGTTACATTGTATATTATTTTTGATTATTTTTTTCTCTATCACTTTCCAGTGTTGTGTGAAAGACCCACTAAAACAAGGGAAAGAGTGCAATTTACTATATATAAAATGAGGTCAAATGCACAAAGTAACTGGGGATGGGGAATGCCGCAGATTTCTTCCAGTTTCAGTAAACTTAAGTGTAAGAATAGTAGTTAAAACAAGTTTCAGATGGAAATGTGTGTTTTTAGCTAATGCCAGTCCTTTAAATGCAGATATAGAAAGCATCCTGTTTTAGGTCCCAAAATCCTTATGCAAAAATCAATCCCATTGTGGCAATAATTTTGGACTGCAGGACCAGACCCTAATATAAGACATCCCTACTATCTGCTCTTCTAAACAAATCCACCTAGACAAGGATCTGAAAATTCAGAAACAGTATATAAGGTTATGAAGCTTTCATGTGTAATAAACACTTATAAATTGCATCTATTTACATTTAAAACCAACAAAAACTGCTCTTTTTTGTGTGACCACATAAACAATCTTGTTAAGCACTTTCAAAGTTAAACCTTTTTCCCAAGGTAAACCACAGAATAATTAGAGCTGGAAGGGACCTACAGTAGGTCAGAGTTCACCCCTCCCCCTGGGTTAAAAAAAAGGTTATATACAAACATCCCAGCAGTTAAACTAACTTCAAGCATCAACCCTTTTACTGTGATCTTGGGGCTAAAACCTCACATATAATCCCATTTAGTTTACAGAACTGTAGACCTTTTAAACTGCTGTACTTAAACTTATGCAGAATCAGAAGAATTTTCTATTATTGCACACTCATTAGGCCCAGCTCTGCCCTCTGATAAATACAAGCATCTCCCACTAAAGACAGGATCGATTATAATTCAGCTAATGTGGAATTTAAAGTGCAGAGAACAACAATACTGAGCCAAAACCAGTACGGTACAACCCTGTTGGAGTCAATGGAGTTACACTATGCAGAATTCAGCCCATTCTGTTTACTCTTATAAAAATAAATGATAGTCCCATTAATGCAATTTGAGTAAGGAGTGATTCAGAAACAAACAGGTTAACTATTCTATAACTTCCTTTGGAAATAATGAATAGCTCAAACAAAAGATCAACATGAAGATGTTGAATACATGGACGGGCATATGCAAACCAAAGCTGAAAAGGACTTGAGTGTAAATGTTTACAAATGTACTCTACTTTAATTATAATATATAAATATAGAGAGACCTCTGGTATGTTTCCATCTGAAATAATGTGTTTGGCTCTGAGTACCTCATTACCAGAAAGATAATGACAAGCTGAAGGTAGTTCGGAGAAGATCAATCAAAATCAGAGTGCTGAAGGGAATAACTTAAAAAGAAGAGTTAAAGGCTCAATACTGCAGCTGTTCCATGCACAGAACTTCTATTGACTTAAAGAAGTATGGGCTCTAAAAAACACCTAAATATGCACAGCTTAGTTAAGCAATGACAAAGGGAAAACATGATAATAGTCCACACATAATTGAGGGGTGTAAACACCACGGAGGGAGATAAATTATTTACAGTGCTACAAGTAAATAGAAGTGGATATAATAGGATGAAATCATTAAAGGGAATTTGGACTGAATATCAGGAAAGTCTTCCTGACAGCAAGATCTCTTAGGCTTTGAACAATTTCTCAAGTGAAGGGGGTGGAAAATCCTATCATTTGGAATATTTAAAGCTAGGCTAGAAAAAACACTAAAAGTATATTTGTAGGGAACAATCCTACATAAGCAATCCTGTATAGGTACTAAATTATGTAGTGGGTTTTTCCAATTTTTTTCTGATACATAGTATCTAAAAAGTTTGTGGGGTAGCTGTATGTATGCCATGACCATGTACATAAGTAGGTGCTGTAGTAGAAGACACACTAGTTCTAAAATAGTATACAGCAATATTTAGCCAGACAAATTTATAATCTGACTGCAAACCCTTTCTCACATGAGCAATCCTTCTGACTTCAATAGTCAAATGATTAAGAACTAATTGCATGAGTAAAGCTTTGGAAGATGGGGCCCACTGAAAGTACAGATAGATACCAGACTCTATTTTAATAGCATGCAATCTCTTCTTTGTATGACATTTCAGATTTAAAAAGGGCTTTATGTTGTTGTGACTATCTGTCCACCAGTGGCTACTGTCACCTTCAAATCAGCTAGCCAAGTAGCACAATGTATTCTATAATAATGGAGTATATGAAATTCAAACTCAGCCCGAGTTAGGCATTGCTTCCCCCCATTATATTAAACCTTTGGGAGACAGAAGAGACCAGTGTCACCATAAGCCCTGTATCTAATCAATATTTCACCAAGAAAAAATAAAGTGAGATGTATTAAAATACTTTCTTTGATGTAATGAGAGCAATTAATTATGAACCACTAATAAATTAGTGCATTAAGACATATATTTGAGGAAAAATTCAAAATTATTAATGAGGTTCACAGTTTAAACCAATTAGCTATACTATCTTTTATGGCATTGTGTACCAGCAGAAAACTGTAAATCCATACAAATATTTATGACATGTAGATTAGTACAGTATCTACAAATATTTACACTTGAAATTATTTCCTCCTGCAGACACCAGCATAACTCACTTATTGGCTTATTAAATGTCCCCATCTTCTATGTGACACAAAAGACAAACTGGCTTCAACATTTCCTACAATTTTATTAGATTATCTTTTGACTTTCTATGAATATTTTCCATTGTGTAAGTAAATTACATGACTTGCTTTAAAGTGTGTATCAATAGCAAAGTCCTACACATAATATGATCACTTAACATCTTTCTGCAGTTACACAGTTCTAAGTATACCGTTTTCAAATATTTTATTTTATTAATCAATCTGCTATCCTTTAAAACACTTGGGTTTTTTTAATATTAGAGGAGCAAAGAGAATAACATATACCAAGGTATTAGACAAAGAGAACTTTTTTTTCCTTTCTTTCATCTATAAAATACATTTATGTAATCACAAAGAGCAATTAATGACCTAAAGACAGTTCAGAGGGGGGGAAAACGGCAAGGAAACTGATAGCAATCAGATTTGACAATGATTTCAGTAATTCAGTCTCATGAAAAGCAGCAGCAAAGGAGCTGCTTCATCCATGCCTGACGGTGCAAAGCAGAAAGTGTAAGAATTTAAAAACAAAGTATTCCTTTTACATTAAAAATAAAAGCTCTATTTCATTTCACAGTTATACCTAATTCCACATGCAAACAGACACTATGGATAAGTAGGCCCTGGAGGCAGGGGTGGACAGAGCACAATACGGTCAAAAATCTACCCAAACGCCACCACAAAGCAAAGCAACATGCCAGCAGGCATTGTTTCTTAGGTTTCAGTTATCTCCTATCAGCTTCATCCTAAGTATATATTCCTTAAATGTGAATGATGAAAATGAGCCCAAACGTACAATAATATGTGGAATAAAACTAGACCATCAAGATAGAATATCATGTAACAAAACCTCCCCCAAATCATAGTAAACGTCATAGGAAATGGACAACTACGTGAAAAGTTAAGATGCCTTTAGCTTTCCTGACATGGCCATTACCCAGCCTGAAACAAACGGTCTCTTTAAACTTTGCAGATATTGTTTTCTTTTTCTCTGATCAACTCAACATTTTTGAGAAGGCTGATGAAATTCAAAATGTCATTCTTGCAATTTGGGACTAATACAAGCATGTGGGAGATCTAGGCACACTGGTTTCTCACAAATCACGTCAATAATCTTGGGAAAAGTTTTCTAAACTTCCTGATTAACATTTCTTGCAGCTGAAACTTTTTCAAATGAAGACATTTGCCTTACAGTCTCCATGTACAAAATAAGGCTCTAGATATTAGTTAGGTATGTTAAAAATATAAACAATGGACACATGTCTTTATGTTCAGTGTCTTTAAAGAGACAGTGTCCTTAGTCTTATTTACTACTGGATATGTTTTCCAAAAGAGATTTTTTAAAACACACACACACACACACACACACACACACACACACACACACACACACACACACACACTACTTAGTAGTTAGTAT